CCCCCCCCCCCCCCCCCCCCAGCAGCATTTCAGACCTTGCGCTGATCCTGAACTCATCCACTCCTCATCCATCACATCCCAAAGCTCTGGAGAAGCTGAGGAGAGTCCCGGAGAGGTTCTGCAGGACCCTTTTCCACCCCTTCCCAGCCCTCCCCGGCTCGCCGGTGGCTGCCAAGCCCTGCGATGGCAGGCTGCCTCCTGATGAGAACAGAGTTGCGTGCCAGGCAGCCTCACACCCCAAAAACACCTTCAAAACACCCTCACCCCCGGCCGCCGCCCCTCGCTGAGGGACCTGGGGACACGTGCGAGGCATCCCCGGCCGGCCTTTATGGACACCGTGCCGAGTGTCCCCAGCCGTGGGGCTTATTTGTGACATTTGTGACATTCGTGGTCAGCCCTGCGGCGCGGGGCACCGCTCGGTGTCGCCTGGCGCTGAGAGGGGACGTTTCAGGTGGGCACGATCGGTACCTCCCCGCTTTGTGCTCCCCTCTCCTCGTGGCTGGAAAAGGCTGGGATGGCCGTGTCCTACGGAGGGGTCACAAATGCCCGGGGCACTGCTGTCCCCCCGCAGGTGCTGCAGCATCCTGGGGCAGAGGTCGCCCTTGTTGACTCCGACCATTGTCCCCAGCGCAGGAGATCCCCCCACAAGCTCCCCAAGCCCCAGCCAGCCGTGGGGGCAGCAGATCCTGATCTGCTCCGGCGCCGCCTTGACCCCGGGCCGGGCTCCTGGACGTGAGGCCACCGCCCTGGTCCTTTAAAAACCATTTCCCCCCCCACCCACCCGTAGCGTGACTGCGAGTGACCGGGGTCACTGACTCCCGGCTCTGGCCGGAGCCCCTTCGCACGCGATGTCCCTAATGCCACCTCTGGGACCCCCCGGCGGGGCGGGACCCCCTGGCCTATTTCCCACCTCGTGGCAGCTGGGCTGGGAACAAGGATGCGTGCGGAGGGGGCAGATTTTGGGAGCGGGCTGGTGCCCCTTGTCCTCCCTGAAGGGCAGGACCTGGCCCGTCACCCCACAGAGACCGGGGCTAGGGGCTGCCTGAGCCCCCCATCGGACACGGAGCATCGCTCCCCGACGTGTCCCCTCTCCCTCCGGCTGCACCCTCTGCCCCATCCCAACCCCACCTCGCCCCTCGGGTCGCCCTGTCCCCAGGGGACAGAGGTGACAGAGGGCACGGCGGCTTCTCACGCGAACCTGGACAATCTTTAACCAGGTCGGGGCAGCCAGGGCCGTGACCCCCGGGGCTGCCCCGCCACCCACGTCCCCACGGGGACCCTACGGAACTGTGGGGTGGTCCCGCAGAGCGAGGTGGGGAGCCACGCACGGAGCCGGTGGCTCCCGCTCTGCCCTGCCGGGCTCAGCGGCGGCGGGATGGGCACGGTCCCCGCGGGGATGCGCGATCGCTTAAACTCCGCGGCGGCTGGTCCGCGCTCATCCCCGCGTGTTGGCGGGGGTCAAACCCCCCCAATCCCCCCAATCCCCCCAATCCCCCGCTCCCGGCCCGTACCGCCCTCCCCGGGGCGGTTTTCCCACGCTCCCGCTGTCCCCACGGCTCCGCACAGCGCGGATGTCCCGGGGCAGCGGGTGTGGGTGTACGGAACCCTCGGGGTCTGGGTGGGAGCAGGACAGGCGGGGCAGCCCCGGGGGGGTCCCGGGGAGCAGCGGGGAGCGGTACCGGCGCCTTTAAGATCCTGCCGGTAGCGTGACTGGAGTGACCGGGGCGGTGCGGGTTTGCCCAAACATCCCGCCCTCTTCGCACGCGATGCCCGCCCCGGGCTGGAACCCACGGGCGGCACCGATACCCCCCCACCCCCGCACCCCGCACCGCGACCTACCGGGACCCCTGTCCCTCCCCTGCCCGCCTCGCAGCCTCCCCTCCCCCAGATGCGCAGGGAGCGGGGGTCCCGCACCCACGGGTGTCTCGGAGAAAGGGGGGGGGTGGGGGGGGTCGGGGGTCCTGGGGGGGTCCGGGGAGTTCTTGGGGAGTTGGGGGTCACGTGACGGGTGACGGGCCGGCCAATCAGAGCGCGGGGCGATGCATATAAAGCAGGAGCGGCGGGGAGCGGGCACCTGTCCCGGGATCGGGCCCCTCCCGCCGCTCCGCGCCGCTCCCGCAGAGGTGAGTACCGGAGAGCCCTCACCGCCATGGGTCCCCCGGGCCTTCCAGCATCCCCACGGCACCCCCGGGTGATGGACAGCCCCGCCGTGGGCTGTCCTCCCTTTCCGACCCCAGCAGCATCCTTCCCCCCACCTGTTGGAAGGTGATTTTGGGGGCTCCTGGGGGTAATGTTCCCCTCACGGCTCTTTCCGCTGCCGAGGGCTGGGAAAGGGGTCCCAGCTGGGCTGCACCCTCTGCAGTGCAAGGTCCCCAGAACCCCCCAGGATTTCCCCCCAGGGGTGTCCTGTGGGGGGTCTGTGGCACCCTGCCAAACCCAAGGGAAGGGGCGACCTGACTGCCAACCTCCTCCCACGCCTGCTCGGGGCTTTTGGGAGGATTTCATCCTGCGAGGAGCCGGGAGTTGGACTCGATGATGCTTAGGAGTCTCTTCCAGCTTGAGGGACTCTATGATTACGTGGTTTGTGACAGAGCTGCGAGCAGGGTGCACCCACCCCGCTGCAGACAGAGCTGGTTTTGATAGCCATGGATCTTTGGGACGATGCCTGGCACTGCTGTGTTTCACCTGCTCGGTGACTCGAATTAGGATCAGCTCTCCTCTAGCCAAGTGCTCTGGAAAAGACTTAGAGGAGAAAATAAAGGTCGTGTGGTTAAGAAAGCACCATTGCTTTCCTGGCACGTAGAGAAAAAGTTGGGGGACCTATTCCTTCCACTCCCGGCTAGCAAAAAAGCTGCTTTTCAGTGCAAGGAGTTTCCTAAAGCGCAGCAGCTGCGGATGAGAAGTGAAGCCCAGCTCTGCTCCAGTCGTGCGCTGCTCTGTCGCTGCTCCAAGAGTCTCAGCCTAGAGACCAGCCCCAGTTCCTAACGCGTCTTTGCCTTCTTCCTGAGGGTTCTGCACGCCGGGTCTGCCGCGGGGAAAGGGGCGTCGCTGGAGGCTCTGACGGGTTGAGGTCCCCCGTAAGGGATGGGTGGGTGCGTTTGGAGCCTTCTTGGATGTGCAGCCTGTGCCGCTGGAAAGCCCCAGCCATGCGGGGACAGCTCCGGCCCCTGAGCTGGTTCGGGGCTGCCCGTGCCAGCGTCAGGAAGAGCCGCAGCGCTGCGCCCCTGGCTGATGCCGGCTCTTGCCGTGCCTCCGTTTCCCTCGCGCAGGGCCGCTCCGAGCCGGCGGGGATGCTGAAGGCTGCCATGGGGCTGCTGGGGAGCCCCGCTGCGGTGTCGGCCAGCGAGGTGATGCTGGTGGCCGCCGTCTTCTGCCTGGTGTTCCTGCTGCTCCAGTGGCTGCAGCAGCAGCAGCAGCGGCCCGTGCCCGAGGGGCTGCGGAGGCCGCCGGGCCCGCGGGGCTATCCCATCCTGGGGAACGTGCTGGAGCTGCGCAAGGACACGCACCTGGCGCTGACGCGGCTGAGCCGGCGCTACGGGGACGTGATGGAGGTGCGCATCGGCACGAGGCCCGTGCTGGTGCTCGGCGGGCTCGACACCATCAGACAAGCCCTGGTCAAGCAAGGAGAGGACTTCATGGGGCGCCCCGACCTCTACAGCTTCCGCTTTGTCACGGACGGGCAGAGCCTGACGTTCAGCCCCGACTCCGGGGAGGTGTGGAAAGCGCGCAGGAAGCTGGCCCAGAGCGCCCTGAAGAGCTTCTCCATCGCCCCCAGCCCCACGTCGTCCTGCAGCTGCCTGCTGGAGGAGCACATCTCCAAGGAGGCCGAGTACCTGGTCAGCAAATTCCTGCAGCTGATGGAGGAGGAGAAGAGGTTTGACCTCAACCAGTACCTGGTGGTGTCGGTGGCCAACGTTATCTGTGCCATGTGCTTCGGCAAGCGCTACGAGCACGAGGACCAGGAGCTGCTCAGCCTGGTGAACCTGGGCAACGAGTTTGGAGAGGTTGCCGGGGGTGGCCACCCAGCCGACTTCATCCCCGTGCTCCGGTACCTCCCCAGTCGCACCATGGAGATCTTCAAGGACATCAACAGGCGCTTCAACGCCTTCGTGCAGAAAATTGTGCAGGAGCATTACAGCAGCTTTGATAAGGTAAGGGCTTGGATGCTCTTGCTTGTGGGGGGAGA